CATTAATCTAGTTTATGGATCTTAGGCCACTTGCAAAACCCATAAACACTGCTTTAAAAAAAAGTGTAGCGACTCTTTTCGCTTTTGAATAAAGTAGAAGACCCTTTTTTAATCATTGCATTGCAGCCATTGCAAACTTGCCGTTACACGTTTTCCAGAGCCATCGTATTCGGAGTGTTAATAGGCCGGGATTGGGGTAGCTACCCCTACCGTAAAAAGGGGTCAATTTGATCAGCGGTGTGTGTTGGATCACTGATATTTCTCCTTATTTTTCTTCAAGTGCATTATTTTTGTAGTTTCAGGGCGAAAGAATGTATCCTATTTCCATTAAAATCATTCAAAATTAAAAGCACCGTAATCCTAGGACAAATTGATCAAAATACCTGGAGTTTTCATATGCGCCGTAGATAATTTTCGTTAATAGATATCAATAGAAATCTCGATTGTATTTCATCAAAGGAATCTAATGATTGCTTTGATGTGTTTTCTCAACAAAAAATTAAATGTTACTGCATAAGTTTAATTTTTATTGTACTGGCGTTCAATAGCATGCAATATTATTATTCAAACAAACGATTATAGGGCTGTGATGGCTGTTGTCACTGCTTGCAAGTGGATATTTCTCTAAACTTAGTGTCACTGAAGTTGAAGTTTTTAAAATATTACGCAATAAAAAAGGTTCCATTGCCAATCAATTAAATTCCATATAAACATTTTCAAAAACGAGATTTGAAAAAATTTCCTAGGTGAACATCCTATATGATAAGTCTTGCGTCACTTTTCAAAAGGTCCTAAGTAACAAATGTAAACGAGTTAAGCGATACAAACTATTGCTCTTATATCATTGCATGTGATACAAAAACATCCATCCAAATTTACTTTCATGTACACTGGAGTCGCTTTTTACGCGGTTTTTTTTACACGGTTTTTTTTTACGCGGTTTTTTTTAACGCGGTTTTCGGAATTTACGCGGTTTTTTTTTACGCAGTTTCCGGAATTTACGCGGTTTTTTTTACGCGGATTTTGGTTTTTTTTACGCGGATTTTGGTTTTTTTTACGCGGATTTCAGAATTGACGCGGTATATCGCTTTTTACGCGGTTTTTTCTTACACGGTCTTTTTTTACGCGGTTTTGTACGCGGATTTCGGAATTTACGCGGTTTTTTTTACGCGGATTCCGGAATTTACGCGGTTTTTTTACGCGGTTTTTTTTTACGCGGGACGTATCACCCGCGTAAAAAGCGACTCCAGTGTATTTAAGATAATCATAGGTCAAAAATTGTCCAATGTACAGTTTGAAATGATGGGTACATGATTGTTACTGCGGTCATTCGGACTGCCTATTTTTTAAAAACGGGGCCATTCTAAAGTTAGGTACTCTACTCTGAAGTCTGTGAAAGGGAATCTGAACAAAACGTCCAATGTAATAATCATTGATTATGTCATTGAGAAAAATTCTCCAATGTAACATGTCCGATGTACAACTTGACAAGTCAAAACGTCCTATGTGGTTTTTTTTCTCTATTGTAGCATGAAATTCAAAGTAAAATTGTGATTTTACCGTTTCTACTGAATTTCCAACGTTATTATTCACTGACTACATCAAAAATAGTATTGCAACATGTATTGTTTCTAAACAGTTAAAATAATAATCTGTCGAACTCAACTTCGATTTTATCAAAATGGTGGATATGTTACATAGGTCTATTTGAAAAGTGACGCGAGAAGTAACCATGTCAAGCGATAGAGTCCTCGGAGCTACTGATTTTAATACCATTAGTTGGTCAATGTCCTTTTTTGGTAGCAATTTATTTCGATATTTACGTTTAACAGTCATTAATTTGCTGCCGGTTTACGGTATTATATCTGATCAAAAACAATGCGAAACCTCAGTGATCAAATGCGGGTTGATCAAATCAAATGTATCCCAAATCAATTTTACCCCATTTTACGGTACATTTTTCATTGATCAAAGTTCAATCAATGTTTATCGTAAACACTTTATACTAAGATTTCGTCAAACTAATGGTAAACTTGACGGAAATACCATCGATGAAACCATCACCAAAACGAATGATAGGCCAAAAACTTAAATCAACTTATAATCAACCGAGATATGGCCATTTTCTTGGAATCGGTTCTGATGGAGGGTTTTGAATACGGCCAGATATTTTAATCATTAAAAACATGCCGTGCGACAGCTCATGCTTCATGGTTGTTCGTCAATAGGTTTTCGATTTACTTTAAATTGACCACATTGGCCACTCTCGGAACCTCCGGGATGCCCCCTGGGGAATCTGTAGCAGGGGACAATTCTCGACTACTTTTTCAAAGGGACGTATAAGCTTTTTTAAACAATGCATTTGATCCTCGATTCGGTGTAACTGGTAACTCGTCCACGCATGCTCGTCAAATAGGGGAAATTTTCCCCTACCTGCTAGTGGTGTCAGTAATCTTGTGCGAGCTACCAGTTACACCAAATCGACGATCAAATACATTGGTTACAAAAGATGATACGTCCCTTTGAAAAAGTAATCGAGCATTGCATTTTTACACCAAAATATGCCGTGCGACAGCTCATTCTTCATATGTTTTCATGAATAGGCTTTCAATAATCTTTAAATGGATAATTGCTCATGTTGGCCGCTCTTGGAACCACAGAATAGCCCCGGGGGAACCTGTAGCAGGGGTCATTTGCGTTTCTACACCAAAACATTTCGTGCGACAGCTGATTCTTCATGATTTTTTTCTGTAATAGGCTTTTTATAGACTTTAAATAGATCATTGACCACATTGACCCCTGTACATCACCGACCGAAACTTGAGCTCATTTGGATGCGAACTCATACTGCACTGGCTCTTTGAAGTTTATATGGGAATTACTATGGGAAAAGTGAACTTTTGGTTCTCATCGTTCTCGCTTTTCGTTGTTATGAGTTTGCTATTTCTACTATTGTGAAATTTTCTCAGCTGCAACTTTGCTCAGGACCACATTTGGATAGAACATCAGGATAATTGGTTATTAATTTATTGGAAGCTGATATTCTTCTGACATGCTCCATAAACTATTCAGCAGGCAACATTGGTGTGCTTGGCGCGATGAATAGGGCTAAAAATATAGGTTACTATGTCATAAGTGCAAGATGCGGTGTTGTCCTGAAAGCAGTCCATTTATCATATCAGAAAGTTATCGGTTTCGAAATCAATAATAACTATTTACATTGAAATCTAATCAAAAAGTGGTCTTTGGCAAAGTTGTAGCTTATAAAATGTTACATGTGAGCGGATAGCAATCTTTTCCGTTAATTATTAGGGTGCTGTTCTAGGTTCTAGGACATTAGGAACATAAAGTTCACTTTTCTCATAATAATTCCCATATAAACTTCAAAAGGCTAGTGCAGTATGAGTTCGCAAAAAAAAAAATCAAATTTTGGGAGAATGATCAGGACCTGATTTAGAATTACATGAGCCTGGTGGAGCAAAATGGGTACAGTATTTTTAATACCACCTGCTTTTTTGAAACAAGTTCTTCATTTAATTTTATAAAAAATAGAGGCAAACAAAACCGCGTAAAGACAGAATTGATTGTAGACGTAAGAAAATATTAAAGTAATTTCATTAGGATTTAATTAAAGATACTTTCGTTGATTATATATAATATAAAACATGCCATCTTGGAGGGAAATAGAGGGACAACTTTAAGAATTCAGATTCTGCTTAAAAGAACATAGAGTCCCTTCGCGAGTTATGAAAGTTTTAAAAGAATTTCTCCTAATCAAAAACTTGACTGATTATTTTTGTTAAATAACGTTAGTTAGAAACATTAGGAAAACATATAGAATTTTCAAGGTATTTAATTATTCAGGATGGCCACAGAACCGGAAATTCTAAATACAACCTGGGAAATTTAAAAATGAACCAATTTAAATCAGAAACTGCTGCATTTTTAGTACAGATTGTATGGTTATAGAATTCGGTTGGAACTGATGCGTAATGTAGAAGTATTGATCACGCTGAAATTGGAAATGGGACGTGTTCCCAATCTCGATCGAAAATCATGGGGATTCTTCCGATAAGGTCATTTTATGTGAATGGCTCCTTCAACCGATGCTATGCATCACCGTCACCATTGCCGGGTTCGAATGGCAGTAAAGCAGCTTGAATATAAGTGGTGTTCGGAGGCCTTAAGGTAACTGTTTTTGCTTAGTTTATAAGTAAATGTAACGCTTTGCTCGGCTATTCTATTTATAGCTGTATGGAAGAAGCTGTGTAAAGGTTATGAAACTGCTGCAAATATACACACATCTTATGTCAACTCCGATTCTCTTCTGAACGTGGATGTTTTCGTGTGGCTTTCTTCCGAAAATCGCTCCAAAAAGGGTTCATTTGTCAGTGCAACGCTCGGGTATTCAAATGTTTATGCAGTCATCATCTTTTATCGCTATTCTCAGATCAAACTTTCCCATGAGACCTGCCACCATGTTCTTTTTAGGAACGCTCTTCTTATCTTTCCAGCAGCTATCGAAACCCATGCATAATAACATGCCGTTCAACAAGAAGCTCGTCATACTTCATTGGATAAAGAACACTAACGAATTCATGGAATGATCACCATTTAAAGAAATAAAAACGTATTCCATCTCCAACGAAGCCTCAAACACAAACAAATAACCTTTTTTGTTGTACATTGTGTCTAGTTATATCATTGTTCAAAAACTGATTGTTCATGCAGGATACTAATATATTTTTTTTTTATCTTCTTCAAAATGGTCGCATATAACTCGATTGAATTCAATCGGGGAAATTTTATGATTCATTCAAACTGCTGCACCCTGGATGGATTCGGATGCCGCGCTTTTCCCCACTGGATTTCGTGTGCTGCCCGATTGGTGAATCGATTACGGTGATGTATTGAAAATTAATGTGTCTGTTGTGGTGTGCTTGTAATCACTTATGAATCATGAAAAAAAAATGTGCCATAAATGCAAAACAACCCTAAAGACATATCGTGGTGTGCGGGCATATAACGTACGAGTCGGTGTCACACTTCCTGAAGGATTTTTTACACGAAGATCGCGAGGATGTGGACGTTGAAGTGGTATTTTTACATCGGTAAGTGATCCTGTTTACCATTGTGTATTGGCCATTACATTTTCAGTTACACCCCTTTTCGTTGTGTGTTTGTTGGTAATCGCGCAAACCTACATTACATTGATTATAGCTAGAGCTCTTTCCGCACAAAAAAAAAACCTCGCCCCATCCTCTTCTCCCTAATATTAGAGTCATTCAGCATTAACCTCATAAAAATTTCTCTCTCTTGTTACCATATTTACGTACTTACAAAAGCAATTAATCTCCGTGCCAAAACTATCGTACTATATTCATCAATTATAATATTAAAGCAATTATTTACTTGAATTTTGTTTCCAATGCTATTACAACAAAGCCATTCCAAATTAATAAGCGATCCCCTCCCTCATCTTGTTCTATCACTGTCGATTGTTTTCTAACGGACATCCCTTTCTTCGGTTCGTACCATTCTGTTCACACTGTCATTGTTTCCTTGGTTTCTCTCATTCTTTCACCGCTTTGTTCGATCTATGAATCTGTTTATACATCTAATTAATTCGTTTAATGATATTTAAAAAAAACAACATGTGAGCAAAATATTAACGAGTTAAACCAAAAATACCTATACCTAAATACCTAAATATAGAAAGGAGCCTGATCTGGAACTCGAAGGTCTCTTGAAGCGACATTACACAACGGTGGAGTTTTTTCAGGGAACTATGATGAACGCAGTCGATTTGGAGCGAGTAAAGGTACATCCCACAGCCAACAGTTAACACACCAAAATAGCTCATATTTCCTTATAAAAACGCAAAGACATTCAAAACGAACCATTCTCTTACTTTTGTTGTTGATACAACACAAGGAAAAATGAAACATCAATGTTGTAAACAGTTTTTGTTTTTCCAAAAAAAAAAAGTCACTCCTCTATCGAATGAAAACAAAACAAACAAACAAACAAAAAAAATGGAATTTTGAACATTATCAGTCGCCCATTCACCAAAACACAAAACAACTCTTTTTCTAAAACCAAAACAAACAACAACAAAAAAAAAATATCCCAAGAAATCGGAAAAGAATGCAATTTCGCAAAACACATGCAATAACACTAAACTTTCCGCACAATTACGCGCACCAATTATTCAGAGTAACGTAAGATTGACACACCAATGATCCACAAACACCAAAATCCGGTAACCGGCGAGAAAGAAAATCACGTATCCAGCAGGAGGTACATCCAACACTTGGACCTAGAAGTAAACAGTTTGTTTCTTGTTTGCTAAAGCTGTTTTTATGTTATCTTGAAGTAGATTGCTAGATTATTTTTTTTCCGTAAACGTTCCAGTAAGAGTAAACAAAGAAACAGTTTCGCTTTTGAAGGCATCGCTATTGTTTTTTTTTTTGGGTTTTGTTCATGGGCTAATATACCGTTACTGAAGCTAGGGCGACCGTGAGCTTGATCTGTAAGATAAATCGCAATGCAGTTATTGGCGGTAAGAAATGCATGACGTTTGGCCTACGGTGGACGCAGTGGGTCTAAAATGCATTGAAGATCAGGATCTTTTGAGATTGTGTTGTTTATCCGATTACAAACAGTGTCAATTTTTTTTACGAAAAATCAAACTTGCTTCGAGTTTTTCATGGATATGGGAGCAGTGGAGAATTATCGCGTAACTTTTCAATAGGTCTTATCTACATTGATTCGTTCTCTTCATCGGCTTTCTTTTTGGATCGCCACGGCCGTGTTAAGATATCGACAGTGAGCATGAATAAGGGTGTAGCCGCGATGATCGATTCTCTTCGTCGATTTTCTATTTTGTTAAGTACTCACTTGGATTAACAATTCTCGGTGCATTTGTTGTTGCTTTTGATGTATTGGACAAATTTAAGAAAATTGCTTTCCTTAGCTGTAGTAATTTAAAATCGATGAAGAGACACAATTTCGATGGTAGAAGCAACAATCTAGCATCAAATACGACACAGACGACAGGAATCGTTTCTGTAGCTGATTTTTTTTTCGGTCTATGTAGATTGGTTGATTTGAAAAATTGAGCGAGAATTCACTAGTATAATCACTCTCACTTACTCACAATCGAGCTCTTTGACGTTTAATCGTCTATCTCTATCAAACACATGAGGATGAATTGATTCATTGCTTTCCCATTAATATGATTCTCTTTTATTCACACTTCTTCGAATAAGATGGTGCAGTAAATCACAAATGTCAGCTTCCACAAAACATACAATCAGTGTTGGGAAAATATCCAAAATATCAAATCTCACCAATGAACAAGATCACGCTTGATTTTCGTAGACATGCAAACAACTGCGGTTGATATTGCAAGCTGTGATATCGCTGCTCAGAATATCAAGCTATCAAAACTCACCAGCTGCAAATCTCACCAAACTGTGGTGAGATTGAGTTTCGTGATTTTTGCTTTATACCCGAACGCAATCGAAACTTCCATAGCAGCTGGCAGCAGTCGCTTCGTGTCTGCCATCGGTGAAGAGATAAATGAGATAGTAGTATTATACCTTCTCTTTCTAAGAAAACGAGTGCAACGGAATCATTTTTTCCTCGATTAAACTCTCAGCTTCAACTTTACACGTTGTGAATAGGCTCGCAACATCAAAGGAGCTTGTAAAATCAGTATCATACATGATATTATGCTCCAATATCATGCGTGGTATTGAGCAGGCATGGAAAATCATTTACATTCATTTCATGCAATCATTTACATTCATTTGCCTCTAACTTTTTTCATCAACAGCAATCCGCAAAATAATGTATAGAGCTTTAGTAGGTTTTGTTATAAGCTACAACTTTTGCAGATAACTCAAATCTGTATCTCTTATGCATCACTAGTTAGAGCGGGCAGAACTTATTACTGTTTTTCAATGAATGTAAAATACATTCACTGAAAAACAGTAGTGGATTCTTTTCGCTCTGGTTCGTCATACATGAGAGATAAGGATTTGAGTTGCTAACAAAAGTTGTAGCTAATACCAACACCTACAAAAGCTCTATACAACATTTGGCGGAATTCTGTTGATGAAAAAAGTTAGGGGCAAATGAATGTTAATGAATGCACGAAATGAATGCAAATGATTTTCCATGCCTGGTATTGAGAGCGTATAAGAGCGGAAAAATATAATTTTGGTAATGATTATGCCATCACTACATACAATGATGAAATTGTTATTCAATAGATATTCTCTATTTGTTGTAGTGCAGCAACGAAGGAGTAGAAATTTCATAATTGTTCGTTTTATAAGAGCTGTCATTTGTGCTTTTGAAGATTCATGCTAAAGCTTCCATAGAGTACCACCTAGAAAAATTCAATTTTTGAACAAAACAAATTATTTGATAAAACAGCAAATATTTTATTTTCCATTTTATTCCACTTAATTAAGTCAAATTAATTGGAAAATAGCCTTTTTTGCTGTTTTATTAAAGCATTCCGCTAACAATCAATTTCATTACTTCAAAATTATTTGAATTAATTATAAAATATATTTATACCCTTCTATACTGCTTGCAAAACTGACTTTTGATCCGAGGCTTGGATATGTCAATCGTCTCAGCTCGGAGTGATCGACAACTGTCTGTATGTTTGTGTGTAGCAAAATTTTTCAAGATCGTAATTTCAGCAACCACTGGTATTCTAATCCCATACAACGCCCTTGATTTTTTTTGAATCGGTTAACAGGTTCCGGAGATGTGGCCGGAATATGTTCCGCTTAATACGGGTCTTAAGACTAGAAGCGACCTGAAACGTGCCAAACCCAGGCTTGATGAAACTCCTCAAACTTTCTAGAAGTAGGGGAAATTGCTCTAATGTTGGCCTATGGATCTAAGATTGGGCCCATCGCAAAAAATATGCTATTTATCAATTTTATCTTGATGAACGCGTCATTGGGACGGTACTAATTGATATTTTTAGTCGCTATTGAAAATCTAGTCGATTGTGAATTTATGTATGGGTCCAAATTATGGGCATATAGGCCGACATTTCATCCATTTCCATTATTTAAAATACTCTTGCTCTGCAAGTTTAGGCAGCCTTCACTTCGGGTGACTTTCGGCCGAAATATGGAAGAAGTAAATAAAAACTGCCCAAGAGGTAGGAAGAGCGAACTCAAGCGAGTGGATGATTTGATGTGAGGTGAGCTTTCGTGTCTCCGGATGACTTTTTTGTTCAGAGTTTACCCAGGATGAGAGCTCACTCCCGTTTTATTCCCGTACACTCGCAAGCTGTGAGGTTCGATGGAATGATTTGTAACTTGGAATTCTACTCCTCAGAAAAATGCTATGCTCGGCTCATTTCAGACTCACGAGTGAGACCCCATCAAGTCTGGCCTGGACCCATCATGCGGCACATCAAATCACATGTGGATTAAAAAACATAATCAATGAAGGGGGTGACCCCGGCGTAGTGGTTAGCATCCATACCTCTCACGCCAAAGTCACAAGTTCAAATCTTACCCCCGGACAAGTCACGAATGACCCAAGAGTGATAAAGTGACTATAATAATAATAATAATAATAATAATAATAATAATAATAATAATAAAAAAAAAAAAATAATACTCAATGAAAGTCAAAATGAGTCCCATGACCACATTGCGCAGTGGTTCAGGAATGCAATCTAGCAATGCAATAACTCCAAAACGAGTCATTTAAGTGATTTTGTGTCTTGGGCAATGTTTGTTTGAATGAAAGGCGCCATTTTTTAGTACGCAAATGAAATTTACTAAACATGAATTAAACTGGTATTTAAAATGTAACTTTCTAATAATTCATTTTGGAGAGTTGGTGTCTTCTACAAAGTTGTTTATTAGTCACCAATACAAAACTCTTACTACTACGTAAAAACCGCAGCGACCTTGGTTTTCAAGATATTGATGTTTTTAGTTTAGAAGGTTCAACATATTTTTATGATAAAAAGCAATGGTTTTTATATATTCTGAAAACATAATTCTGCAAAACTTGAAACTTTTTCAAAGATACTACCAACAATCAATACGAAACTAACGATTTC